AAATGTATGATCTATATGCAATTACATCTACCACTCACTACCACTATGTCGTCCTGATGATGATGATGATGATGATATGACGGTGGTGGTGGTTTCTTGTATACCGCCGATGCTCGCCTCTTCTGGGCGTTCATAGCGTTTTTCTACAATGTCTCACAAATTTACTTAAATTTATTGTGACGATTGAGGGAGAGGACGAAAGAGAGAAAGATGAAAATGGGAGAAAAAGAGAAGAGGTAGAGAGAGAGAGAGAGTGATGGAAAGGGGTGGGGTGGACATTTACTTAAGATCATGTTTCGTCTTTACTTATACTACAAGACACAGGCGCGGATCCAGGATTTCTTAGGGGGGGGGGGCCCAAATTTGAATTATGCGAGCCAAATATTGGTACGTAATGGTGACCAGCAGTGACGTAATGCAGGGGGATGTAGGGAGGGGCGAGTTTCCCCCTCCCTCCTCTGCAAAGCGCGGAAGCTATATATAAAGTATTAGAGAAAGAAGACAATTCGTTGTACCGTTCTCGACTCTTAATCCTTCTCTTAATTCAGCCCCACCCCCTCCGCGCAGCGCGGAAGCTTTGACGTTTCATTAAACTATTATTGAAAGAAGACGATTCGTTATAGCGTTCTCGAAAATTATCCTCGTTTGAATGCAATTTTCCCCTACCGCGCGAAGCTCGGAAACTTTTACGTTTCATTAAATCATTGGAGAAAGAAAACGATTCGTTGTATCGTTCTCGACTCTTAATCCTTGTCTTAATTCAGCCCCCCCCCCCTCCGCGAAGCGCGGAAGCTTTGACGTTTCATTAAATTATTAGAGATAGAAGACGATTCGTTGTACCGTTCTCTATACTCTTAATCCTTGTCTTAAGTCAGTCCCCCCCCCCTCCGCGAAGCGCGTAAGCTTTGACGATTCATTAAATTATTAGAGATAGACGACGATTCGTTGTACCGTTCTCGATACTCTTAATTCTTGTCTGAATTTCAAAGATGTTTTTTGTCTGCTCCTTTTTCTCCCGTCCTCTTCCTTTCCTCCTCTCTCTATTTTTTGATAACCTTTGTCAGGAGACCCGAGAAGCTCAGGGGTTTTTAGGCATTTGATTACGGTCAGATATATTTTTATACCTTATTTGTGACACTGGCAGGACACTAATTGGCGTGAGGTCCAGCGGGCGAAGCCCCCAGAAAACAGGGGTTTTAGGCATTACATTTCCGTCAGATTAGCATCCAGGGGAGTCTAGGGCTTCCATGGATGCAGTCTTTGTTCTCTTTTTGCCTTCTTCTTACTCCTTGACCGTTCGTGCATATTTTTTTTTACAAAACTGTTTAGCCATATATAGTTCATGTGCAAGCACGTATACCCAGGGAAGAGAAGGTAATAGAAAAGGGAAAACAAAAAATACATAAGGAGAGTGCAGAGGAAAGACAAAAAAATAAATAAGAAATACATAACGGAAGGGCTTTTAGGCACCAAATTACGCATCTAGGGACCCGCCTTAGGCCCCTTGTTTGAGTCCAGAGGGCAGAGCCCCCGAAAGCTCAAGGACTTTAGGCATTTAATTTACGGCCAGATGAGCAAACAGGACCCGCCTTAGGGCCCTTGGTGGGTTCCAGGGGGTAGAGCCCCGGAGCTCATGGAAAAATACTGCCATTTTAGCAATACTTGTAAATCACTGGTATCAAATTAAAAAATAACCCTGTATTGTATTGTAATTGTATTGGGAGGGGGGGGGGTTACTGCCCCCCATCAGTACGCCCAGTGAAAGAGGCGGAGGTGACGGAAGGGACTACCCCCATAATGCTGTATGATAAGTCTTATATGTAACCCCCTTCACAGATTTTTGAAGTTTTGTTGTGTTACAAAATTACATTCTTTAGCAAAACTACAGCATAAAAACAAGCAATATACTTTTTTCACGCTTCACTTTTACTTTGCCGATATCTAGTGTGCAGTCCGAAGGGTTGTAAATATTTACTAGGTAAATTTTAGTTTGACTGAGCAGGAAGGGACTTCTTAAAAGAGCAAGCTGAATATTCATTTTTGGAACACTGATCTATTTCTATAACTTTTAATCTTGTTAACATACAGTGTAATTTGTACATACATGTCAACAGAATACATATTTTCTTCAATATTTACTTGTATATTTTTAGGATATTATGCGAAGGAGCGTAGCGACCGAGCGAGAAGATTTTAGCATTTCTATTAGTCTAAACGCTGTACTCTTGGGCCCACCAGAGCCTTAAAGCGTGTTGCAGTCTTTAGTCAGTATTTGCTATACATTTTGTTGGTGTGCACTTTTTCAAATTATCCATGGGGGACGATCCCCCTCAGAAAATTGAAGGAAGACGTGAACCCCGTCCTTCCACCTATTTTGTGTTTTGCTCAAAAAACTATCCACACAAAAGGACTATGTATGCCCCTTTTGTGAAGCGACCTATCAATATTAATGTTCACATATCAGTCCCTTTTTGGATTGCCCTCCTCCCGCCCCCCCCCCCCAAGAAAAAATATTATCACACTGTTACATGTGTGCACAATATATATATTGATTTTTCAACCTTACGAAAGTGGTGTTTTCATAATGTTTATTGACATCCTTTCAATTTATATTTATATGGAAGACTTAAGAAGACAACTGTTTACAGTCCAACTAAGGGTGAAGAGCATGCCGTGTAGACTAAAATGTGCAATGTTGTTCAATTTCTGAATTCTTTGTTTAAAAAACTTGCTTGCTGTCAATAGTGTATACATTTTTTATACGTTTCAAATGTCTAGTCCGGTTAAAAATAGCACGTCATGATTTCATTATTTGACACGTACTTCACATTGATTTATCTTATCGATAAGCGAAACGATTTGCTTTAGTATCATATAACAAATATTACAGTAATGACAAGTATGGTTTTCCTGAAAATTGAATTATACAATGTATATATTCATCGTTATGGAAAATGTTGTATAATATATAACAATGGGCATTAACATTTTCCAGACCATCGATTTAATTACGTTTAATATTGAAGCTGTTGCCCTTTGTATATACATGAACTTGAAATAATAAGTAGCCTTGAAAGTGTCGCAATAAATCATGTGTGAGTGAGCTTGAAGTTTAATGGTGTAGGTTTGTTTGAAACTGTATAGCCTTTACTCTGTTTTTAATGAGATATATCTCCAATCAAATCAAATCAAACTGAGTGATGTTATCGTACAACTAAACAATATCAATCTTCTGTTCTCCTAAATAAGCCTGGGAAACTTGAAAATTGCATTACAATGTGAATTCATTGTCAGTGAAAATGTAATACAATACACAACAATGGGCAAATAATTGTTTCCAGACCAATGATTTAAGTACTGTACTCATATCACGCTTGTGATTAGCACACTGCCAAGACTCCAATTGTAATACTTTTTAATACTTTTTAATACTTTTTAATACTTTTTAATACTCAATACTCAATACTCAATAGTTAATTACAATATTTCCAATGTTACAGTTAATTGAATTCACGTATCTGTATACATTTTATTTGTTTATATGTCAACATTTATTCATTTTTACTAGCAATATTTCATATCTTGTATTTAAAAAAAAAATCTTTTTTTTGTGTTTTTGTTTTCTTGTTACTACTTTAATGTTTTAACTTAAAAATGTATTCATTGTTATATATTTGTCCTCATTTGCTATGTTATCTTTATGTTTTTGAATGTTTTTTATATTGATGTAAACTTGCATTTTTAGTCTTCGGACATGTTGACAAGTAATGAATAAAACCTTATTTGAACTTGAAAAGTAAGAAGAACTTACATTTTATATTGAAACTGTTGCCGCTGTATATACATCAGGCGCGGATCCAGGATTTCTTAGGGGGGGGGGGGCAAAATTGGAAATTATGCGAGCCAAATATTGGTTCGTAATGGTGACCAGCAGTGACGTAATTGGGGGTGGGTGGGTGCAGGGAGGGGCGGGTTTCCCTCTCCCTCCTCCGCGAAACGTGGAAGCTTTGACATTTCAATAAATTATTAGAGAAAGAAGACGATTTGTTTTACCGTTCCCCAAAAATAATCCTCGTTTGAATTGAGTTTTCCCCCTCCCGCGCTAAGCGGAAGCTTACGTTTCATTAAATCATTAGAGAAAGAAGACGATTTGTTGTGTCGTTATCCCCTTTTTTTTTTCTTTCTTCTTCCTCTTTTTTCCTTTCTTGTATCTCCTCTTTTCCTTTTTTTCTTTCCCTTTCCTTCCTTCTCTTTTATTTTTTGATGGGGGGGGGGGGGGCAACAGCCTGGGAGGCAAGTCCTTTTGCCCCCCGATCTACTTCTTCCCTCTTTTCTTTTCTTCTTCCTCTACTTTTTTCCCTTTCTGTCCTCTTTCCCTTTCCCTTCTTTCCTTCTCTCTCTCTCCTTTTTTTTTTTTTTTTTTTGCGGGGGGGGGGGGGGGGGGGGGGGGGGGGGGGCAAGGCCCGCTCGGCCCCCCCCCCCCTGGATCCGCGCCTGACAAGACAATCGTCCAGCTAATACAAGAAGAAGAAAGGAGAGGAGGGACAAAAATCCGTAAAAATGACCCGATAATAATTATAAAAAAGTGCGTGAGATAAGGGGCTTAAATAGTTGATGTTTACCAAATCAAATCTGTACATGAGGAGGAAAGCGGTCACAGTATTTAGAATTATGAAATCCTCCCCGCCTTTTTATCGCGGTGCGCTTTAATACCATTGACACATGAGATAGAATCAATGCTCGTATCTACTCATTTTCAACTGGTCCAACGAGGCTTTAAACTACAACCATTTAATACCGAGCCGGGGTCCACGCTTACACAAAACACCCGGAAAAACTTCCGTGTCCTCTTCCGCTTTCGATAGCATTATTTGCCAAGTAGCAATTGGGTAAGAGATGTGCAGGTAGAACACTTCATGCCAAAAACAAGGTTCTATGAGTACCACTTATACTCTGGTTCTCTTCTATCTGTCTCCGCAAATAAGTTTATAACCTAGTTACGTCAATCGTCTCTTACCAAGGATACATAGCTGCGGCGGTAAGTAGTTCAACACTTGTAAATTTTATGATTGATATTAAATTATGTCTGAATGTTTAATATCTTTTCAACAGCAGTTTGTGATAAGGCGAATCTTACCCGAGGCATCGCAGGGTTGTATCAATTGCTTGTGATATTATGCTTCTGTGTCGTGTGCTATCTCTGTTTCGAAATCTGATACAGTTACTGCCCCTTTGACTTATTAGAGATCCGTTTGATAATATACATTCTTAAGACTATTGTACATTGATTATTGTCCCTTATTTTGTCTAGTGAGAATCTCTTTGCATTGTGCGTGAATCTACAACCTTATGCTGGGAAATAGATTGTATTGGCAATCGTTTGATGAAATTATTGTTTTGGTGGAAAGTCATCTTTCCTTTTATCTTTTTTCTATCAACCTGTTCTATGAACACTTAAGAAAAAGTTAATAACTTTATTTAACTTTTCAAAGGAAACATCAGGCCTGCTTTTTTTTTCCAATTTGTCGTGTTATTTATTGTGGGTTTTCTGCGGGGAGGGGGGGGGGGACTGTGGTGGGGGTAGGTCATAGCCACTCACCAATGTTTTAACTGCTCGGTCTGCATGCATGAATTAAATGTTAGTTTTCCTTATCACAGTTGGCTTCATAGTCTGTAGTATTATCAAAGCTATTCTGCGGAGATTTTTAAGGATACAGACTTGTATTGAAAAAAGGTTCATTATTTTTAATTGAAGTTTAGGCTGCGATATTTGCTTGACACCTCTCTGTCTTCTAAAAAAGAAGACCATATGACATTGCAATTATATGACTTCACTGTGTGCACGTAACAATTTGCCGCATGTCGATTTCATAACTTAGCATTGATAGATATAGTTGTTATAAAAATGTCCCAAAGCGAGGGGTAATAGCGGAAGCGGGTCATCCGGAATTATCCTAGGGCTTTTTTGGTAAAATATTCGATAACAATCAAGGAAACTCATCAAAATAGCTGTTTGTGCAATTTTTCACAAACTAACTTTCCAAAGTCATAACGTCTTCGAAAACAATTTGTAACTCACACAAAAATCGTGCTAAAGAGGAATCTAAAGGCCATCAGTACTAGTGTAACGGAGGGATTAGACCACACTGCAAGATCACTGGACAGGTGGTTATCTCATCAACTCAGCTGTCAAATAACATAAAATACAGAGGATCATGGGGGACCAATGGTCACCGATTATGCATTGTTTGTCATATAGAGGGCGCAAGTATCTACAAGTAGAGGAGTGTGGCTTTAAAAGACAATTGCTCTAAACGAAAGCAGAAAATTCAGAGGAGCAGACATGATGAACGTTTCAATTTAATCTGACTAAAAATAAGAAAGTTAAGATGTTTTGAAAGTTGCATAGTCACTATATAATGTGCACTTCAAATTGGCTGAGTCACTGTGACGAGTGCCGGACTACTTTCCCATTTGTTCTAAACGCAAAAAAGTTATGGCTCATGAGCGTCTATTCTCTTTATAGGACCTATACTAATATGCTATCCATAAAATATTTTGAGTAGTACCCCAAAAGGAGAAGGCAATTACATGACAAACATAAATAACAGATATTTGTGTAAACAGCAAACGACAGAGTCTGTCACAGTCCACTGACCAAACTGCCAATTTGAGATTCGCGTAGACTTAGTGATCTCATATTTCAAACATTCCTAACTTTTTTTTATTGGTCCGATTTATATCGATTTTCACCATTCTGTTTATCTGATTGTTCTGCTTTCATACAAATGAACTTATTAAATGGGTTAGATTGCCCTTTAACGGTATGGAGTAATCTCACAACTTCAAGGTGTTATAATAATTTACTGTGCTGTGACTACTCTCTATAACTTGTTTTAAAGCGAATGCTCTCCCCATTTATTTGACTGTCAATAGTCTTGCTGTCAAGAGAGAGATTAACCGCATTCTCCGCATTACTCACATTAATGGTTTAGAGGAAAGAGTAATTAATCATGAAAATACAAAAACTAGCATCTACCTATTGTGAGATAAAGCTCATTTCTACTTCACACTTCACAAAATTATCAAAATATTGTTTATTGGATAGCTTTTATTTCGGCATTGGTCAAATTGAATAATGCTGAACTGATAATAACTATTTTCTTGTTGGTACCCGCAGAAACCACTATGGGCCTTTAACTTATTAAATAGGTCTATGAGCTTAAAATGAGCTTGTTTTGTAACATTGTCTTGTGTTTCACAAGTCTTCGTAGGCAAAATTTGGAACAATTGTATTTCTGGGGGATCCATAAACTACAAGCTCTGCTTTTTAGTGGATCCCCCCATTTTCTCAGAAATTAAGAATTTCTTGTAATAATGTTGTTATGTGCAAAGTGTATTTGTATAGTTACCAGAAAAATGAATTATGTTTGAAAAAAATGTAATACCCTTGTTTATCTTTCTGTTGGAAATTAAATAATATATGAAGAAAAAAATTGAAGAAAAAAAAAAGCACGATTTCAACAGGGCGGTTTTGGCGTCCCTTGCCCTGAAATCAACTTTCCCTTTTCCAGTTTTTACTAAATAGCAAACAATTAGGCCTGGTTAAATAAAGATGTTATTCTTATATCAAAACCATGAAGAATACGCGATTTACTTATTGCACTGCCTGAATACGAGGTGACAATTGCCCTCCGTTTCAAGGTATACGTATATTTATGTCAACAAGGATTCGCTTTCGTTTTCAGTTCTTTAAAATGTCTATTTCGTCTTTCATGTGAATTTAATACGTCAACTACTTTATCCTGTGGAAGTACTGAAACGGGAATAAATCAAATCAAATATGAGTTGGTGTTGGCCACGAATACTGGAATCTCCAAATTCTAGCGCTTTAATAAACATCGTTCGTCTTCGATAATACATCGGTGATAGGATTGCTTGCAAATTTCTCATAGCGCTCCCGGTATCATGTGACCGTGCTTCGGGTGGGGGGGGGGGGGGGGGGGGGGGTGGGGGGGGGGGGGGGGGGGGGCAGCGCGTACGCAGGGGGGGGGGGGGGGGGGGGGGGGTGTTTGGGGGGTTAAACCCCCCCTTTGGAAATTTTTTGTGTGTAAACCCCCCTAAAAAAAACCTAAAACCCCCCCTTTTGGATTTTTTTTTTTTTTTTTTTTTTTTAATTATTAAAAAAAAAAAAAAAAAAAAAAAATTATTCCCATGGGCCGACCTAAAAAAGGTGACCTTACCCCCCCCCCAACGGAGCAAAATGTCAAATTTCCAAATTTCGAGACCAAAAAAAAAAAAAAAAGTGTCCTCTTACCCCCCCCCCCCCACCCCCCCCCCCCCCCCCCCCCCCCCCGCTTATTCAGCGGTCGGCCGAGTCGTTGCGATTTTTTTGGGACCAAAAAAAAAAAAAATGTGTCCTCTTACCCCACCCCCCCCCCCCCCCCCCCCCCCCCCCCCCCCCCCCCCCCCCCCCCCCCGCTTATTCAGCGGCTGGCTGAGTCGTTTGCGAAATTTTCGGACCGATTTATAAATGTTAAAACCCCCCCCTTGAAAAAATCCTGCGTACGCGCCTGGGGGGGGGGGGCACTATTAATCAAGAAAGAAATCGAAAGTATACTGACATCGTATAGTCATGTGAGAGTACAGATGATAATTATCATGTCGATAAATGTTTCCGGTTTAATAAATAGTGATGTTATCAATTAAAATATCGTTGGAAAATATTTGTTGATGGCATTACCAGATACTAGTATTACGCATGAAAGTTGGTTTGTGTTTCCTTTTCTTGTTGTATTATGTTTTGTTGGAGGTGGTAGGGCATTTCATAGAAAAACGGAATACGCAACATCATGAGACACCAAGATAAGAGAAGGAGAAATAGAAGAAGAGGAAGAGAAAGAAGAATAAAAAAGAAAGAGGAGAGAAGAAGAAGGGAATAATTAAGAAGAAGGAGAGGATCTAGAAAAGGGGAAAAAGAGGAAGAAGAAGAAGAAAAAGAAGAAGAGGAAGGAATAAGGAGAAGAGGAAAAAGGAGAAGAAGAAGAAACAGAAGAAGAAGAGCAAAAATAAGAATAAAAAGAAGAAGACATTGATCTATAGAGATAGAGGTAGATAGATACAAATAGAGAGAGAGAGAGAGAGAGAGAGAGAGAGCAATTTGATATCCAAAACACATTCGAGAAACGAGTGTCATATTGCCTCGTTGACACTTGCCCGCATTTTGGTCCCGCACTGCCCCGCTCTGTGGAGTGCCAATGCGTGCCAATTAGTGGCACGCAGCGGCACGAAGGGTCACGTCTAATTTACGAATAGTTCACGCAATGCGTAACCACCAGGACACGCATTCGTAGACAATGATCATGGCATGCGAAAATTGCGCGGGAAGTATGCGCAGCCAAAGCGCAAATTGTGCGCAAATTAGTCGTTAACTAGTCGTGAATATGCATGCGTGCCACTAGGCCATCGGACACGAATCGGCGCGCACTGTCACGACTAGGCAGCGCATAGGGTGCGCATAGTTCAAGAAGTGTTCACTAACGTTGCCAAACAAAATTGTCGTGCCAAAATTTTGAACATTTTGAAAATTCTGTCACGCATTTCACGCACGTCCCGCATTCTCCCACACGCTACCACGAATACTTCCCGCACTGGCACGCAAGAGTATGTGTCTATGCGCAAACTATGCGCAAACCAAAATGCGGGCAAGTGTCACCGGGGCATTACATTGTCTTGGTGCCGAGAGGGTTAATGCATACACCTAGACGCATCCGGGGAAAGTTGATCAGCGTGTAATGGAGAATGCCATTAATATGTTCATCGAATTGTTTATAGAAACTTTATAGAAACATGAATCCTATACGTTACTGATTTACATCGATCTATGTCATCAAAATAAGGTCACTCACTCTATGACTAATGTTTCTTTGAAAGAGGCCTTATGGCTTTCAAGGACCACGGGGTGACGTTTCAATTGGAAATAAAAGAAGAACAAAAAGAAAAGAAAAGCGAAAGTAACCAAACCAAACCAAACCAAACCAAACCAAACCAAACCCAAACCAAACCCAAACCCAAACAAAATCTTACAGTTTTAAAAAGCTTTAAAACAATGCGGGAATGCTTGTATCAAGTCTACACAGTTCAGTGACTTTGTTCATTAGAAAAATGTTTTAAACAGTGTATCTCATTATTTACATTCGGGTGTACGACATGGCACTCCTTTCCATTTAAGGCACTCAAAGGCGTGGTTAGTGCAATTAGAAGAAGAAAAAAAAGGGGGGGGGGGTAGGGGAGATCGGATGTCGTACAACTAACGGTTGTTATTTTCACATTAAAGTACATTTTCAAGCCCTTATGCTTTGAGGGAAGTTCTAAATTAGTATTATCTTTAAAATGCCGTTGGAATTTAACTTTTTTCATTTTTGGGCCTGCACATGGGACATAATACCTTTAACCTTTGATTAGAACTCGAGTAGTTATACAGGTGTCATATAGATTCGCAGTATAAGGGAAGTGCCTTGCTCTTCGTGGCCATTTGATTCATTGTAAACATCCATGATTAAAATCAAAACGTTTTGTATCTAAATGGTTCAATTTCCCCCGGAATCCATACAATACTTTGCCTTTTAAAAAAAGATCCATCATACAGGAACGCCTCTTTCCTACTATAATGACATGAGAAGGGGAATGAACTCTACGGGAGCTTTGCTATATTACATTACTTGCATCATACTTACAGAATTGGACCAATTTATTTTCTCAAGATAAAACATTCACGTCTATACTTGTATATTGTTGAGTGAACAATATTTAACATAATTCGTCCCTATTTTCACGAAGTGACGTTAGTGAGGAAAATCGTCACGCAAAGTGAATGCAATTTTTTTTTTTTACTACCGTCACTTCGTGAAAACAGCGACGAATTATACTGTGCTTACATTCATCAAAATGTTGTTATTCTGTAGGTCGAAGTGACTTGTTACCATAATACAAATCATACTACAAATAAAATAATCAAACATTACTTTCAGTATTTTTGGTTGCATAGGCCTACATGTACATTGATATGAATACATACATGTACGTCTCGGAAACCACAGTAGGAATCATGACTATAATGTTTTTCAGAGGTGCTAAAATTTGCATCGAAAGGGCATTGGTTGTTGCCATGAAATATCAATTTTCGAGGTTAGTAATTCTTTATAGAAAAGGAAACTTGCCATTTGTAATTCAGCAATTTCAGAAGCAAATGATTATATCGTTTCAATTTACCATGTCGCGCTATAACCACAAGGCAATACCGGTTCTTGGGGGGGGGGGGCTATGAGGAGGTCAGGCCCCCGCTCCAAATGTCTTCAAGCCCCCTCCCCCTCTCCTTGAATGCAAGAACCGATCGATCGATCGATCTTATTTACTGGGTGTAAGCCACAAATATGTTTAAAAAATTGAATTTTCTCTCAGGAATCATTACATTTATAAAAGAAAATAGTATTGTTAGAACAAAAATATTTAACTTTCATGGTTGAAGCAGATCATCTCAATCACATTAGGTCAGTAAGCAAACGACACTGGCTCGGAAACGCAGATATCCGTCGGATGCGCACTCCGGAAAATCCGTTAGAATTCTCGACCACTTTCAGAGTTTAAAAAACCAAAGGAAACAACTATATAGTTTGCGTAATGGCATGACGTGGCACGGGTAAAATGAAGCTATACAAAAGGGAACAGTATTTGATTTCAAATTGTCTAAGAAGTCCGGGTTCAAAGACTTGGTGTATCAATCTACTGGAGTCGCATGCATTATACGATTTTGATTTGATTTATGCATATATAGAAGTGTTTATCGTACATAAATCATTAATTTGATTTGATTTGATTTTTGATTTATTTATTTCTGTTTGATTTTCTTTTTCTTTTGCATTTTTACAAATATATAAAAAAAAAATAAAAAATTGCATAATCAATTAATCAAATGTTATACACATTTATTTAGCTGTATAAATATTTCATATCTATATAACTAACTAACAAATTACTACGTCAATGCTTTTACTAAAAAAATACGTAAGAAGATGTATAGCGAAGTTCAAGATAAACAGCAAACAGAATGCAACTATACAGAGTCAGCAGGATTTTTTTTAAAGTTTTTTTTTTTAGATTGTTTTCTCTTACATCAAATGCATTTTTTACAAATCATTCATATTAAACAAAAGTGTACATATCTTCATAACACAACTGGATGCAATGTACATTGATGTTTTGGCTGAAACATGAATTGCAATAATAAAAGAAAAACAAATTAAGTACATTTTCATAAACTGTTTAGAAAACATTTTCATTTATATGATCAAAGAATAGTAAATGAGAAAGATAAATTTGGACAAATAATTTTTTTCACGTTCATGCAAATTAAAAAACTTGGTAAGGTTATGAATAATTTAGTTGTGAGCTTATGTTTATCATACCATAATACTGTGTAATGCATGGACATGCAAATATAGCAATCAAAATACCTTGGACTATTTCTTGACGCACTATGCTATTTCATTCACATGTATTTCATATTTTTGCAGAATACAAAATGGCGCCTGACAGAATTACACCAACTTTACCTATTTGGTCGTCTATGCTCTTATTGTTCTTTTGTCTAAATGGATTAGAGACAGTGAAGTGCCAAGGTACGTATTTTTCTCAAATTGAATATTTAATGACTTAAACTATCAAACTCAGATGTAAACAAATTATATTAGTATCCACTGTTATTTTTGAAAAGATGAGAAGCCGATGTTTGAGTTCGCATCCAGGTTAAAATAGACAGTTGCCCGGAGGCGGGGGGGGGGGGTGTATTCACTAATACGGTATACGGGGATGTACCGCTTTAATATGTTACTTTTTTTGCAAAAATTCCCTAACACGGGGTATGATTTTGTGCTGCAAAATCCCTAAAAGTGCCCCCACATTTCTGATCTTGGTCTTAAACATGGGTTACTATTTTCGTCAGGATAATATCTCAACCATAATCTCGCTACAGTGAAAATTCCAGATGCGAAAACCCCGCAAAAATAATTGAAATCATTTTGCTTTTTCATCCAAAGTCCTCGCCGATGGTCGCACAGATTTATCAATATTATTAATTTTATCTCTGCTTCTGACTAATTTAAAACTGGTAATCCCACCCCCTTCTCGAGCGTACGCGAAACAAATTCTGTGTATGCAATACACGAAGAATCACAACTTAGCCAATGCCACTACAACTTCCGGCTACCATTTATTGAAAGAAGCAGGAAACTTGCTTTAGAGACGCGCCATTAGATATCCAAGGTGAGTAGGAAGTTTTCAGAACCCCCCCCCCCCCCACATGTAACAAAAAATGTCTCCTTCCACATTATACGTTGGATAAAAAAAATCACCCCATGTTTAAAAATGAAAAGAAAACAAATTCACCCTAAAGATTCAGTTGAAGAAAAAAAAATCGACCCCTGAAACTGGGAAAGCTGTTACTACGACAAATTAAGGTATGTGAAAGTGTAAATCATTCATGCAAATGAAATACAGCTATAATTTAAACATAGGTTGCGTTTTGAATGGAAGTCAATAATAATGGGTACAAATTTATGCCAAAATGACCTTTAAAAATGAAGTAGCCCTACCTCTCCAATGCTACGCTGATGCATAATAATATGTGATTCTCAATCTGATATTCTGAATTGAATACTTTTTGGCTGGCCTACATTGATTTTGTTTGTCTGGCTTTCTTTCGAACTGCATTATGCTGGCTTCCATGATGATAGGTTCTTTCTTTCTCCTCGTTTATCTTATGATCTTATCTTCTTCTTCTTCTTCTTCTTCTTCTTCTTCTTCTTCTTCTTCATTCTCTTCTCTTCTAAGTAAAGGTTTATTATATACCTATGCCTTATCAGGGTGTTCAATTTTGAAAGTAATTTTGCTTTCGGTTCGTTTTTTTTTTACATTCTCAAGGGTCTTACGAGCTTCGATTGGTCAATGGAAGCGCGCCAAACGAAGGTCGGGTTGAAATGCGATCGAACTCCTCGGACTGGATGTCATTGTGCGGCGCGTACTGGGACATCGGCGACGGATCGGTAGTCTGTCAACACCTCGGCTTCACCAACGCGACTTCGGTCTCGCGTACGGCCCGCTTCGGCTCAAGCACGGGACGGATCATGTCTACGAACTACCAGTGCACGGGGAGTGAGAGTCATCTCGAGGATTGTCCAGTGGGGCAGTTCTCCGAGGGGGACTGCCAACATTCCGCTGACCCAGGTGTGGTCTGTTACCCTTCAACCCCAGGTAAGACTGCAATTATTTGAAGACCATCGCTAAGGGTTTTAATCAAAAGAATTAAAACTGATATAAATCATTCATATTCAAGTATGAGTCGATCCATAAGTTTTATTATAAACTACTTGGGAATGGAATTTCTTGGAAGGTTTCAAGGAAATATTTCAAAGTTTTAGAGTATTTGCCCTTCTATCTTCTTGTTTCTTCGTCCGTTTGGAGACGCATGGCAAACAGAAGTAAAAATGAATATCGATTAGTTTTTGTTAAGATTCCTTCTATCTTCTTGTTTCTTCGTCCGTTTGGAGACGCATGGCAAACAGAGTAAAAAATGAATATCGATTAGTTTTTGTTAAGATTCCTAAAAATACGTCTGTGCATTTTCATTATTGACTTACATTCATTTTCAGTTTCTCTGTCGTCTACCGCAATTTTTAAGGTATAATTATATTTTCAGCTGTACATGTGATTGTTTAATGATTCGTATGACGACTATAACGGACAGTAAAACATTAACAAATTTCTGGAAGTGGGCAAAGAATGAACTACTAGAGGCACGGGAGGGAGGGAGAAGTAGAAAGAGAAAGAGAAAGAGAGAGAGAGAGAGAGAGAGAGAGAGGGAGAGAGCAGGGTGGGGGGGGGGGGGGTGTATAGGAAAAATCTTTGTCCAGGATTTAGCGATTTAAGAGCTTTGTTAGTTAATCGCATGTATTATGATGACCGTTTTTCCTTCGTCGGAAAATTTGAAAAGTTGATGACCATCTAATCTGAAAAATATATTTTTTTAAATCATGAACACATAAGTCTTTTTTTTTTTATTTTTTTTTTTACATGTCATTAACCCAGACTCCGTCACGAATGGTCATCATAGATACTAACTAAGTATACCTTCAGTCTGACATTAGAAACAATTGCAAATGTTTTTTGAGGCCGCCGTCCTTGTCAAGCTTTGCTTATGATTGCGGTCTCCTGCACTTTTCCAACAAAATAGTTCGGATAATACTTTAAATTTATGATAATATGTTATGGAAATAATAAGTTTCGTTATTATATGTACATATATTATGTAAAAAAAAACATTTTGACATGAAGAAATTATTGTTTGTTTATGTTGTATTATACCTTACATTTATATGTTCTTTGTTATTCAGTTATATTTTATATGGAAAAAAATGCAGAAATAAAATAAAATAAAATCAAAATCAATATCAAACCCGAATGATTCAAACTAGCATATACGCTTTTATCGTCATTTTCATTTTCAATAGCGTCGATGATGACGACGATGCTACCTAACCTGGTGACAACGCTTCCGCCTGATGTACCCATACCCGTTCGGCTGATGGGCGGGAATAGTCCCTTTCAGGGGAGGGTAGAAGTCTATCTCAATAATGCTTGGGGAACGATCTGCGATGATAGCTGGGATACTACCGATGCTCGGGTTTGTATACTTAGTATAACTGTACAGACTTTCGAAAAATCAATTCAAGGGCAAAATTTAATTGCTCAAATTACGCACATGTAGTACGTCATTTTCATGTTCGACAGTTTCAATAAATGACGCTCAAGCCCTATGCTACGGTCACAGAGGTTCGTAAGAACGATAATTTCGTACGAATCTCCCTGTTTTTCCATTGTCTTCCCGAATTTTCATTGTCTGAAAATCGTTCGTACGGCGTTCGTAGCAGTTCGTAATGGCATTTGTGACCGAGGCTTTAGGTTGATATTTTCAAAAGTAGCTGTGACAGAGTTAATCTAATTTGGAGAAAGTGGTCATACTCGGTATTTTTTCTGGTTATGTCTTCCCTTCTTATCTCTTCTCCGCTTTGTTTGATATACCCTTCACGATTTTTCTCTTTTTTGTTTAGAAGGTTTTGTATCGTATCCATGTTTTTTTTAATTTGTCAAATCTTGTGTTTTCGTTTTATGAACCTCTACTTCCACTTCTTGTCTCGTTTGTTTTCTTTTGCTTTTAATTCTTCCTACAGAAGGCGATACTCATATATAGACACTCTAGCATTTCTTAAAGTTTTTCCATGTAGTATTTAATACACGAAGAAGAAGAAATTCAATGGGATCGGAAGTATACGTAAACGATAAAAACAAAGTTTCGTCAAAATTCAAATTAGTCCAATACGAAATTAGGTAAAAGTAAGGTAAAGTTGTCCAGTTCCATTTAACACTCTCATCTTTCTTATATTTCAAACAATCTCTCAATATAATCAAGTGTTAAACATTTATATTAACTTACGTCAACAACTCCGTCGTTTATCAATACACCAATAGATCGTATGTCGTCAACTCGGCTTCCAAGAAGTTTTCGCTGCTACCACCAACGCTCGTTTCGGCCAGGGCCTCGGACCAATCCAAATGGACGACACTCGATGCTACGGCAGCGAAACGTCAATCCTCGACTGCCAACACCGTGGTATTGGCGTCCACAATTGTCGGCACACGGAGGACGCTGGCGTGATATGCTTGCCCGAATGTAAGAGAATAATAAGCGTGATGATGATGATGACGATGATGACGATGATGGATGATGGATGATGATGATGATGATGATGACGATGATGACGATGATGGATGATGCTGAAGATGATGATGAGGATGAATTGATGATGATGATGGCGGATGATGATGGTGAATGAAAATGATGGTGAAGATGATGATGATGACGATGATGGATGATGGTGATTATTATGATAATGATGATGAAGAAGATAATGATGGTGACGATTAAGATTAAGATAAAGACGATGATGGATGATGATGATGAATTGATGATGACTATGATGATGATGATGATGAAGATGATGATGATGATGGCGGATGATGATGGTGAAGGATGATGGGTGATGATGACGGCGATTAAGATGAAGATGAAGATGATGATGATGATGGTGATGGTGATAATGAATTGATGACGATGATGATGATGATGATGATGGCGGATGATGATGATGATGATGAATTGTTGATGGAAGATGATGACGATTAAGATGAACATGAAGTTTCTGATGATGATGCTGGTGGTGGTGTCAATTACACCCCAAAGAAGAAAAAGACGACGAAGAAAGAGACGGAGAAGAACATTGTGAAGAAAACGAAAATGAAGAAGAAAATTATGATGATGCTGACGATGATGGCGATGATGACGAGCTGTCAGTGATGAAGAAAATGCAATAGCGCTGTAGAAGAAAAAGATTATGAGGATGATCATGATGGTGGTTATGAATGTCAAGAGTCAAACTCAGTCTTTTCGTAAAGGCGCTGAAATTAAGCATTGAAAAGGATGTTACAAGCTCATTAATATAACATAAATTTGTTCAATCACTGCAGCTACAGATGATATTTGGTATGATCATGTGGAGACCTGGTGTGTTTAATGCTAGGAGTCCACTGGGCCGGCGCCAGTTGGTGCCAGTTCGCGCCAAAGATTATGTGATTGGCGCGTAGTGGCTCGCTGTGGCGCCGAATTAATGTCCACTCGGCATGTGTCGCCAAGTGGAATAAACTGGGTGCCATATGGCGTGCGCCAAATGCCACCCGGCTTGCTCCAAAATGTTGCGCCAGTTCGCGCCAGTTTGCGCCATTACGCGGCCATTTGATTCCAAAATTCACCCTGTTGGCGCCATTCGCGCCAATAGACGGCTACTTTGCGCCACTTGGTGATTAGTTTGTGCCAAAGGTCGCCAAATTGGTTTGAACTTGCCGCCGCTTGGCGCTACTTGCCGACTAAATAAATACCAGCCATTGGCTACCTGGTTCAGACCCTCCTCAGCTGCTGTATGAACAACATCTCTACTAAATATTTACAATTTTGATATGTCTGAGGCTTTTGATAATGTTGGAGTGATGATGCTGCTCCATCAGAAGATGATGAGAGATGCTGAGGTGGCCACTGCCTATTAACTTATGCTGGCCAATCCTGAATAAGAAGAGCCTCCTAAGAAGAAAAAGAAGCACAACTGGTGGTTTAGACCCATGCTCCACCCACAGTTGAGGGCCGAACGTGGACAGTACCACACTTTGATGGAAGAGCTGAGTGAGAATGACAGGAGGAAGTTCAAGAACTACACCAGGGTGTCCCCAGAAATGTTTGATGACCTGTTGGTCAGGCTTACACCCCACTTGCAGAAGAAGGACACCCACATCAGGAAGGCCATTCCCCTGGTCTCAAGTTGTCCGTCTTCCTGCGCCATCTCGCCACTGGGGCCACCTATGCCGAGCTGTCTTACAACTTCCGAGTGGGCAAGGAAACCATCCAGAAGTTTGTCCCTGATGTAGCCAGAGCGGTAGTGGATGAGTATGCTGCAGAAGTCATCTCTCCCCCCCCCCCACAACCAATGAAGGCTGGCTTGAGGTTGCAGGTGATTTTGAAGCCAGATGGAATCTTCCTCACTGTCTGGGAGCCTATGATGGAAAGCACATCCGTCTCCAGAAGCCCAACAAATCTGGCAGCCTTTACCTCAACTACAAGCAATTCTTCTCGGTTGTCCTGATGGCTCTGGTAGATTCAAAGTGCCAGTTCCTGTGGATCGATGTGGGTGGGGTTGGCCATCAGTCTGTATACAACAACAGTGAACTGAAGGAGTGCATTGAAGCTGGCACTTTAGGCATCCCAGATCCAGCTCCTCTTCCCCATGATGATGAAGAGCACCCTATGCCGTACTTCTTCGTGGGAGACGATGCCTTCGCCATGAGGACGTACGTGATGAAGCCCTATGGCCGTCGTAACAGAAGATCTTCAACTACAGGCTGTCCAGGGCAAGGCGTGTGGTTGAAAATGCCTTTGGTATTCTGGCTCTGCGGTTCCAGTGCTTCCTTGGCCAGATGAGACAGGAACCAGACACAGTCCGCCTGCTCATTGAAGCTGCCGTCATGCTGCACAACCTCATCAGGAAACACTATCAGGCACTGGACGTCCGCATGTTGGACCAGGAGGATGCCCAGCACAACCTCATCCCTAGAGCTTGGGGAACTGCCGCCATCACTGTGAGAAAGTCCTGCGATGCCGCCCTGCTGTTATAGGCGGCAAGTGGCGCCGAATGGTGGGCAATCACGTGGCATTTGGCGCGAAGTAGTCACCAATCGGGTGCCGTTTGGCTCGCGTAGTGGCGCAAACAAGGTGCCCCTTGGCGCCAAGTGGCGCCATGCGGCGCGAAATCTCATTGGCGCAACTTGGCGCGCGCCATTACATTCTAGTGGATTCCAATAGGCGGATTGTTTGCGCCAAAGGGCGATATGTTCGCGCCATATGGTGCCACTTGGCGGACACTTGGCGCTGATTGCTCGATGCAAGTGGCGCGACGAAAATTTCAAACATTTTGAAATTTTCTTGCCGCCACATTCAAATTTGGTGCCGTTACGCGCCAACACGAGCCAGTCGGGAGGCAGTTTGAGCCACTACACGCCACTAGGCACCTTATTGGCGACACTAGGCGCCACAGTAAATTGCATTGGCGCAAACTGGCGCCAACTGGCGCCGGCTCAGTGGACTCCTAGCATTAAATCAGTAGACCAACTCTTTACCCAATATAGGATTAAAAATAATAATAACAATAATTAATACATTGGAATGTATTTCAATCAGTTTTATTCTCGTCAAAACAGATAGGTTTATATATATGCAAATCAAGTTTTTATTTTGTTTACCTTTGTCACGCAGCCCGCTTAGCTGGCGGCAGCAATCACTCCGAAGGTCGCGTCGAGGTCAGGGTGGGAGAACAATGGCAGACGGTATGCGGCGTCGGTTTCGACGACATAGATGCGAACATTGTCTGCAATCAGATGGGGTACGGAGAAGTTCTTAGCATGTCGCTTGGCAATGACCGGTACGGCAACGCCACCGGCACTGCTGTGGTCAAGAACGTCAACTGCAATTCCAACTTTCAGCTGATGTATCAGTGCGCGTCGGAAGTGGTACCTGACGGGGACCCACAATGCACCAGCGACAATGACGTCGGCATCGTCTGCTCAAATTCTGGTGAGTGAAATGTCTTTCCCGGTCCCATTTTTTCTTGGAGCTTACTTTGGAATAATTTAGAGCAACAAGCCGAATAAACAAGAAGATTTTTTTTTGGAACTTAGCAAGTCGACTTATTTAGGACGAGAAGATGATGACGAGTCGACTTTTTGTTTTGTTTTTTGGTTGTCATCTGAAAGGGTATAGTCATGTACAAGGTGACCCATACCCCTATCCCCAAAATGTTTAGACTGCTTTGCCCGTTTGAGAAAAAAATACGTCTAAGACCCCCTAATCACTCGAGTCCCCTTTGAGTGACTTTTCAGTGCGTCATCATCGCGGTATCTTGTCTTCTTGTCCTACACAAGTCGACTTGCCGAGTTGCAACAGCTCGTCTTCCCGGGCCTTCTCGTCCTAATCTCGTCCTAAACAAGTCTACTTACTTAGTTCCATAACATTTGGAACAAAATGACGCAGATTGGATTTGCCGATATAATTTATACAGATTCATAATTTATACTAATTTATACATGCTCCCCTTCCTTCATCTTCCTTCTCCCGCTCTTTCTCAGATTCTGCAATGGGACTTCGTCTGGTCGGCGGCAACAACATCTTCGAAGGCCGCGTCGAGGTTAACATCAACAATACCTGGGGAACCGTGTGCGATGATTACTGGGACATGGAAGACGCTTCGGTAGTCTGCAACCAGCTCGGGCTCGGCCGGGCCGTCGAGGCCAGAAAGTACGCCAGCTTTGGCCGGGGCTTCGGACCGATCCACATGGACGATGTCCTGTGCTCTGGAGACGAAGCAACCATCTTTGATTGCGAATATAACAACCAGACTGGATGCTCTCACAGTGAAGATGCCGGTGTGGTGTGCGCTCCAAAAAGTGGGTACCGACTGTAGATAGCAATTGCTTTATAAATAATAAATGGTTAAAGGCGATTCCTTAAAAAAAGTCGTAGCCTTCAATTATATAGATTAACCAAAACATAAAGGTAACTTTTTTTCAAAAATCAACGAAAGAGCAAATATCCCATAGATATCATTTCGGGTTTCGTTATACGTCTTTGTCATGTTTTCACATTTCCATATAAGAGACGCACAAGGCTTTTTGCCTTCGGTCGGTTTTTCAAAAGTAGTCGCTATCGTGTTCAAATTTATTCTCAACATATTTGTTTTCATATGAATCTCTTGCTAATACCTTTTGGTACAATAACTACTACTATAATATTTATTCAGAGCAGATTACTTAGACAATTTGATTCCAAGAATCATCTTGTCGGGTCAGAATGCATTCTCATCGATTTTGAGGGCCACAGGAGTCGCAGGCAACCGGTTTTTCTGCCAGAATTTTTGCAGAACGAGTCGCGTCTTCATAAAAATAAATACCAACTTTGTAGGCCCTCTATTTCGTCGTACATTTTGTCTTTAATATCCTCCAATAATATTCTACATAACATGAAAGTAAATGCTGTTGTTTTTGCTCCCTGTCAAATCTCAGTTCGTCTCATGGGAGGTATGAACTCGTACCAGGGTCGAGTAGAGATGTTCGTGAACGAAGAGTGGAGCACAATCTGCGACACGCAGTGGGATGAGGACGAGGCCCGTGTTGCTTGTCGTCAGCTCAAGTACGGCTTCGCAGCTACGGCCAAGACCGGTTCGTACTTCGGAGAGGGCACGGGTCCGATCCTCGCCGAGAACATACGGTGCAGCGGTTATGAAGGGTCGTTGGTGCAGTGCCCGCAATTCGGCATCTCGCCCAACACGACGTGCGATCACTCCCGAGATGCTGGTGTGATCTGCTCACTCCCCGGTAAGGATGTATATAGTCTAGGATATTATCCCAAAATAGTTACCTATATCATCCATCATGCATGAACAACAACGTTGTTGGCATAACCTAGCTGAAGCTAATTTAAATCCCTACTGTACTACTTGTAGCTACTTGCTCCCTCTATATAGAAAACAATGCCTGAGCGGTGCCCGTTGGTCCCCCATGATCCTCTTTTTCTTATGTGAATTGAAAGCTGAGTTGATGAGATAACCACCTGTCAGTGACCACGTTGGGTGGTCTAATCCCTCCTGGCGAAACTAGTACAGACGGGCTTAAAGTTTGGCCCCGATCGAGAGCCCCCGAAACAGACACCAAAGTCGGGCCGATTTCACAGCATAAAGCCCATTCACCACACTTTATGAACGTACCATCATATAAAAATCAATTTGTTGACATATCGTAGGTGAGTTCAAGGGCGAAGGGGTTGGATTTCTCCTTTACAACTAAAAGAAGCGACTTTTAGGGTAGCAATTTCAGGAATAAACAAAAACTGCCCTTCTTGGGGAGCAACTGTATTTATTTCTAAAACTCATAAAATACTCAGTAATCCATTAATCTACTCAAAACGCATAAGCGTGGTCACTCAATCATGTGGTTTGATTAGGCTGACTAAGTTGTATCTCGATTTTAAATGTTACCAATGTACAAAATCAAGAGTATGTCCACAAAATCAGGACTTCACTCGACCGAACATCTCCATGACTACATTCAGTATATCTTATGATGATTACCGACATAATTCAGAACTGCGGCTACTTCAGTCTTTTATAGCTATGTCAACCACACGTCTGAATACATCCCCTCACCTTTCCAGCAGTAAAGAAAATCATATTCACTTCGATCTAATTCAGTTCCTTCCCTCCTCTTCCCAAAACCACGAAATAAAACTATCTTCAAATTCTTTAATCTGTTGTCCCACGACTATTGACTGAACTAACTACATTTCTAAGAACTAGTACTTATGTTTTCTTAATCGAAAAACATTTACCTATTATTTTCCAAATCTACTATTCTCCAGTAGTTTATTAACTCAGTAACAGCGCCTTAAGGCATAAATAGTCAAGTTTGACTGAATTGCGTTAAAACCTAATCAAACAACAAACAACAAACAACAAACAACAACCATTTACACCCGCTGGAAAATGCGCTATACAAATCAAATTTATGTTTGTTGTTGTTGTTGTTATAATAACAATAATAATTTGTACTATTATTATTTTTATTATTATCACCTTCTCGTTCATACACTCAGAAAACAACATCACTCTTCGGCTGGTCGGTGGCGAAAACGCCTACGAAGGTCGGATCGACATCGAGCTCGATGGCATCTGGGGCACGGTCTGTGACAACAACTGGGACAAGAACGATGCTCGTGTGGTATGCAAGCAGCTAGGTCTTGGTCCCGGCATCGAGGCCGCGAAAGGTGCCACCTTTGGACCGGGTACTGGACCGATCTACGTGGACAACCTGGCCTGTAGAGGACACGAGTCGTCAATCGCATTCTGTCCCAACAATGGGGTAGAAGTCCACAATTGCACTCATGATAACGACGCAGGAGTCGTATGCTCAGCTCCTAGTAAGACTTATTATGTTTTACTCTCCTTTAATAGCAGTAGTGTGGTATAAGAAGTATACGAACACGAGGCTAATCTGCCACAAGATCAATTGTACAATTTTAAGAACAATATATTATCAGATAAATGATTAAAAGTCCGGGAATACATGCAAAACAGAAAGAAAAGGAAACGTATAGCATTTATGTGTGTCAATCGGAAGGAAACAAGAAGAAAATTAATACGTACAGAATTTTTAATTTTTTATATCAAAACTACAAAGCGATAACTGAAGCAAAGTTCAATTATTTTGACAAAGTATTCCAATAAAATGACGAACATTGATTGGAATGTCAATACTTATATTTTCGAGGATGTGACCTAATATATATTTAAAACGTACATCAATATTACATGATTGCAACTCATTCTAATCTTTTGCAGTCGGAAGAAACACATTTGATTGTCTATAAATAACTCTAACCAGCAACAATTAGGTATTTTAAAGTCTTTTTAAAGTCTTGCAATGCATGATGATTACAGCATAGACAGTAATATGCCAGTCTCAGCACTTCTTATTTTTCATTTATTTTCAGTTCTTAGCAATTGAAACTTGTCGCATATATAGCCATGGTGATTTTGTTCAGTTAAAAATAAATATGAAGATAATGATAACAATATTAATAATAATAATAATAACATAATAATAATAATGATGATGATTATAATAATAATAATAATAATAATAATAATAATAGTGATAATAGTAATAATAATAATCATCATGGGTTCTTTTGTAGTGCTCATGTCCGACATATTTGACTCCTGACGCTCCACTGCTATTTATAAGGCGCTCTAGCATTTCCAGGAACTAATTCCTACAGGGTACCTATTAACATCACCTGGGTGGGGAGCGGCAAATGTGGATAAATGTCTACATTTTAAAGCTCACTACATTCAGGACCCATACCTGCATTCAGGATCCAAAGCAGAATTCAGGTCCTGCAGTCACGACCCACACTTGAAGTTATAACATTTTCTTTCGTGCTTTAATCATAGTCCGACTTGTAGACGGTTCCGGTCCGTACGAGGGCCGCGTGGAGATTCTCCGCAACATCGTATGGGGGACTGTATGCGATGACGGTTGGGACATCAACGACGCCACTGTGGTCTGTAACGAACTCGGCTTCGGCAGCGCCAAGCGGGCCGTCCCCGCTAGCTACTTCGGCTCTCGCTCTTATGGCTCTATCCACATGGATAACGTGGCTTGTGAAGGGGATGAACAAAGCCTCACAGACTGCCCACACGACACTACCCATGACTGCTCGCATTTGGAGGATGCTGGAGTTATCTGCACAGGAAAAGGTATATGGTTAACACGATCAGATGTACCCTGATCTGTCGCTACCTCCAAACACATAAATGAGCTTTGTGAAGTTACATTACAAGGAAGACGAGGTCATAGCCAAAATGCCTTTCATGGCATCTTGTTTAAGGTTGCCAGAGGTAAAAAGTGAAAAAACAAGATTTATCTGTGGTCATCAATTTAGAATAGAACACTTTAGGAATTAGCCCTAAATGTTAATTTGCATAATTTGGCAACAAACAATTCCCTTATTTCATAAAGTCACATGTAAACAACAGTATTTTTCAATGCTTTATCTTGATGTAGATGTGGCACGTGACTTTGCAATTGGCTCCCTCCAAAGACATACATGAGCTATGCCAAGTTAAACTACAAAATATTACGAGGTCACAGACACAATTTACGTGATCACATTACTGAGAATATGTCGAAGGTTTTCAAATGTCAAGAATTAAAAATCTGGTCTCTACTTCAAAGCAGTTTCTTTCCATGTGTTTCCTTGGCAGATCTTGCATGTGATCTTCCATCACTCCCTCCAAACACATACATGAGTTTTGTCAAGTCACATTACAATGAGGATGAGGTCATAGCCGTCATCTGTACCTATGGCAACGGGTCGGTGGAGTGGCGATGCGGCACCGACAAGAGATGGACAGGACTATCCCTTACCTGTCCCCCCAGGAAAGGTTAGCAATCTCTGCTTACATCTGCTGATCATCAGGAACCCGTTTCACAAAGCCTTTTTTCGATGACAAATGACACAAATCAGTGACAAATATGCAGATAACCAATCAGAAGCAAGGATTTCAGCAACTTATAAGAAAGACTGTCATTTGTCACCGATGGCAAGTTTTGTGAAACGGGCCCCTGATGACAATACAATGCAATGCAATACTTAGCAGTACTATACGATAACTAAAGAGTTAATAGATTCTACAAAATCGAAGAATAGAACGAATAAAAACATAATTAGACCAAAGCTTTTTGTCTTGCACATGTCAGAATAAATCGCAAAAATGTGATCTTTCGCGCGCTTAGTACTCTCAGGTTCAGTTTATATTTGTCTGATTTCGGCTTTCTGTTTATTCTTGAAAATAACCCCGATGAGTGGAAGAGGAAAAGCTGTCTCGTTGCTATATGATAACTAATTGATTGAAGCGCTTTTGCAACTGGATATAGGAATGGTCATTTACCAGGTAGTAATTGGCTCAGTCAGTAGAGCGTCCGCCTCACAACCGGGAGGTCGTGGGTTCGAACCCCGGCCGCGTCTTAGCAAAAGACGTTAAAAGATGGGAGTTGTTGTTACCTTGTTTGGCGTTCAACAATAAGGGGGGGGGGAACGTCGATCTGGCGCTGCTCAGTTGCTGCCGGGCTCACGATCAATTGGGCAAAATGGATTTCCGTTTCGATTTAATAAAATTTGGAGTGGACTATTAGGCTATTATTATTATTATTATTATTATTATTATTATTATTAATTGTAAATAATAATAATACTATACTCAGTTTTTATATAGCGTTTATTTTCTTTACGTAGTACCTGTACCTTTAACTTCCTTAAAGGTATGTTCTGCATGTCAGACAAGAATTAAAGGTGAATTTTCAGAGGAGATCGGGTGGGGGCGAGGGGGGAGGAGGGGAGGAATAAGTGCCCGTCTGCCCGATGTAATATATATATACTTTTTAATACATGCATTGCTTTGTATAAAAGTCTGAAATTGATACTGGCTTTCAGTACTTTTTTTCTGTGCAGGTTTCTAGAAAGTCTTAATGATGTTTTTTAATTTGTTTAAAAGAAGATGTGTTTCCATGACACTATCTAAATGTTACCATTTCTTTTTCTATAGGACATCCTCGTTCCAATAAAACAATGATTGTAAGCATAGTTGCTGTATTGGTGGGTCTAATTCTCATTGGATTGATGATTATCTTGATCTTCTTTGTCGTACGGTAAGTTCGTCGTCATGTTATAATAATAATTCGTCAGAAATAGATGACCATTCATTCTTTATTACACTGCATTTGAAAAACGGTAACAATTTTGCAATCTAAAGTTTCCTTTTGTTGGAGTTAATTGGGGATTGATTCGGTAAAATCTCATAGTTTCTTTTTTAATCAGGGCCATCTTTAAATCTTAGAACGGTCATAAGTTTCGCCTCCTTTATACAAAGTGAACACCCGAGAAGATTAAAGCCTTATATTAATTTCGGATGCTTATAATTCTGTTAAACTTGACCCTGAATCTAAATCAAGTTAGAAAAGTTGAAAAATTAGACCCTAGCATAACTTCTTTTTTTTTTTTTTTTGGGGGGGGGTATACATGTACCCGACTTTGAACAAAACCCTAAAGACGGGTTTAAATTCAGTGGAAAAACCTTTATTTTTATGAATTCGTAATCCACAGGAGTCAACGCAGACGAGGGTTCGGCGGCGCCATAACGATGTCTGACGTCATCGCTCATATAGAAACCATCAAGAACGCTGCCACCACCAACGGTGATCGTAGCAAGCTGGAGGGATGCACCACGGCCATGCCCGAAAACGATATCACGGGTGTCGACGTCGAACCCTTCAATGATCACGCCGTGGAAAATCCTAAGTACTACGACGGAAAAGATTCCAAATCCAACGCAACGGGCGGTTATGCTCGTCTTATCGAATAGTTTGAATGGCTTCTTGGGCAGTACTGTTATAATTTTGAAAAGACTTTGTATGTATATACCTGTCAAACCGTCAAAATGACTTTACATCCATTCCAAACTGACCAGTTCTTGGCTGTTGAAGGATATGTAAAATAATGTTTGATAAACCTGTTGTAGGTCCGTTATCGGTCTCGTTGATGCGACTGAGAAAACCTTCGTCACACCGTCAAACCAATCCCAAGTAGCCTGATGTTATCCATTCGAGATGATTACGGTTTATACTATCATTTTTATGCCAGTGCATTCGTGTTTCCGGGCGGTTTGGAATCGTTTCCCTTATTTTTGTCAGGGTCTGTTAGGTTGAACTTCCCCGGGAGATCCAAAACCGGGACAAACGCGGATCGGTTGTGGACTATTCAGGGACAGTTCGGCACGCATCGATCGATTCCCGTTAAAGTGAACGGTAAACGGTTTCGACGGTTTTGGCCGGTGTGACTGCGGTTTCTACAATATCAAAATTAAGACGTATTTCAATTTTATCTTTGATTTTTAGATTACATTTCGCTTGCAAATATATGATTAAAAAATGTTTTTGCTTATTTAAATTTGTTTTGAAAATGTATGACAGGATTACTGCTGGCAAACTAGAAGTTTATCAGAAATTCACAATGTAATAATTAGCCTCATCTGGGTCCCGTCTTACAAAGAGTCGCGATTGATCCAAATCAATCGCAAGTCCTGCAATCAATCGTACGTTTGCAGTCTCCTCTCTCTTAAGTACATAGTTGCGATTGATATCAATCGCAAATAAGTTTCGATTGATATGAAATCGTTGTAAGACGGGGCCCTGGACTTGCAAGCCATCAGCATTCAGGATAGTATGGAGAAACCTGGAATATAATTTTCTTTTTTTTTACAAGTCATGCTGTATGGTGTTTTAAACTTCATCTAAAGAAAGGTCAGGGAAATTTCGTTTTCATGGAATGCAGGGAACCCAATGTTTATTTTTCCGACGTCTTGTGAATTTAAAAGAGATACGGATCGTGTATTTATATTAAATATGTACGATGTACCAGCCTGAGAAATTTGATCATTCTATGTCTCAAATTTGTTGCCTTTTCCTTATTTTATTGTTTGCCAGAAACAATCAATGGTAGATATTTATCGGCTTTCACAATAAAAAGAATATTTGTCGAAGATTCGGGATTGTGGTAACCACAATCGTCGGCAGCTGAAAGCTGAAAGGTAATGCTGCTTGACTAGGTTAGAATGGTGAAATTCTACTTAAAGAGACTTGGTAACATTGTTAAGATGGGAGAAAATGGTGCTGAGGTAGTGATTTCAATTCTAGAAGCACGATTAAAGATAATCTGACAGTTTGAGTGAAAACAAACCATTTTTAATGATAAAAATTGGGAAAAACTGATCTGATCGATTTCTTAATTTTCCTAACTATATTATTACAGTTTATTTATATTTTAGGGGAATGTATATCGTCACAAAGCAATGAAATGACTCTATATACCAATCCAGACATTTAAGTGTTGAACGATTTTTAAAAGCCTGTTTTATTTCTTATTTTCATGGACAGACGGTACAGTAGAAGGAATATAACAAGTAACATTTCATACACAAATTACGCAGATTTTTTCATCAACCTTCAACAATATTACTGAGTCACTTTAAATATATATCTTGTACATTCCCAAAATGTTGATACCAGAACTGATGTTACACGTAGTATACTCTGATATCACATTGTTGTAAATGTTTCTTATATCATGTATGAAGAGAGATTGAATAAGTGTTCTCTTTTCATAATGTGTGTTATGATTGTAATTATATTTCCTTGAGTGTTAGATTTCAGGAAGTCTTGTCATGTGTATATAAATTCATACAGAAATATATCCGCTACATGGCATTTCCCCCGTACACGCATGATCAAAGTTTCCATGACCAATTTGATTTAGATTTATTAATAAATGGGAGGATATTATAAATAGATAGATAAATAGATACTATAAGATTTATACCCAATAAAGCCATATTGCCTACATTTTAAACGTGTTATTTCTTTAATGCAATTTTTTTATATATAAATATATATTTTTTTTATTTTACTTATACCTACATCATTCCATCACTGTCATGCTCTGTCTACTTGCTTCACCCGTCTACCTCCTGTACTGTCTATCTTTCCTCTCTGTTTTACTTTCCCTTTGTCCGTCTGTCTGTCTCTCAAGTATTCCTATCTTTTCTTCTCACATTGTCCTCTTTACCTATCCCCCTCTCCCTCGCTTTCCCTCTTATACCTGATATAGTGGTTCATTCACTTGAA